TCTCTCTCTCTCTCTCTCTCTCTCTCCCTCCCTAAACAAAAAAGAAAAGAAAAAAAAAAAAAACTCACCGGCAAATTCGGCTGCGTAGCCTGGGCATCCAAAAACTCCCTTCGCGAACTCAACGTCACCGAACCGAGAGGATGAGGACAATCCGTTCCATTACTGATCAACCAACCCACACTATCCGTCTGATCGGTAATATCTTCGGTGAGAGTCGAGTTGGCGAATTCTTCGGAAAAATCGGAAAAGAGATGCGAGAAATTGTCTGCGATGCGTTGTGCGTGGGAGTCGGTGAGGCAGGATGATGATGCTGTTGTTGCGAGGGCTAAGAGGGCTAAGAGGGCTAGGAGGTGGGGGGTTGGGGTGGGCATTGTGGGTGGCTTGGTTTTTTTTTTTTTTTTTTTTTTTTCTTTTTTGGATTGATGGGTTTGAGGGGGAGGGAGGGGAGGGAGGAAGGGAAGGAGGGTTGGGGGTCAAAGGAAGTCTGTGGTGTTGTTGTGGTTGTTGTTGATGACTTGATGTTTATACCATATGGATTAAACCCTGCTTGATTCTGCAGTACTACGGTTCCCCATGGTTGTCCGGCATAATGGCTGATGCCATTGGCACAATTCGGTCTCCCCACGCTGCTGGCTGCTGTGAATTGAGCTTCTCTGCCGGAGAAAAATGTCCGATGGGTTGAAGTTGTTCCACAACCTCAGCAGTTTGATGATGATGCCTGTAAGAATACATGTATGCCCTACTTTTTATTCTTTTCAGCTGGAGGTAAAAAAAAGGGGCCGACATATATTGCAAGTCGTCCGGTCGTCGGTTAGCCGCCTTATCGCTGTGCCAACGCACTCGTCTGTATCTGACCGCATGTGAATATAGTAATTCTAATCATGATTGCCACGGCGGCAGTGGCACTGAATTTTCTTTTTGAGAGCAGGTGGCACAACTTGCGCAACGACAGCAACCATCGCTTCATGTAAAGTATGCTGTGTCACAATAGTCACTCTTGCACTGCATCATCGACTCTGGATTCAGCTTCTTTTGTGTGGGCCCATCCCACTCTTGTAATCCTTTTATTATGCTGTTGGCTCGTCTAGTTCTAGTTCTAGTCCGAGGCTGAGGAGTGGAGCACTCTCGAATTCTCCAGAATTTGTTGAGAGTCTTCAAGTTGTGTTTTGCAACAAAATTCACTTTGCGAAAAAGAAAAAAAAAGATGAACAAAGGTGCAGACTTTGGGAATGCTGTCTGTCTAGATTGCCCCTTTAACCCCCTATTAGCGGCCAAGAATCGAGAGGTGAGGGGTATCCTTGAAGGTGCAATGTCGAGTGCATAACTGCATATGTCGTTCTGCCCTGATTATACTCTCCGAATGTTGTATGACCATCTCAGCGACTTGAACAGTGCATTGGCCTCATCGTCTGGAGAAACAGGCAGAAAATGATGTTGCTTGGACCACGACACGACAACGAAGTCTAGGAGGTACCTCCTTAACTTACGCGGCCTACACGCCATGATGAAACTCTCCCTCTCTCGGGTGGCGCTCCGACTTCACGTGAACGATGCAGATCCCAAATTGGATCAGCCTCAGGAGAGTTACAATAAAAAGTGCGGTACATCACACTGCACATTCGTGGAGTAATGGTCAAGTTGAATTCCTGGAGGACGTTGACATTATTGGCAGCAGTGTCTGCTGTTCAAGGAGTAGCTCAATGGGACAATACGCTCTTCGAGGATCAGGTGAATTGTCCCAAATATGGGGACTACACTGATCACTGGCATGGACCGTCGAGCGGCGGGATCCATAACATGTCCTCTATGCGGCCAGAGCCACGTTGTCGAAGCTTCAAGAGCGCAGTCGTTGAAGCCACCATCGCGAATGTCACGGCCTCGATTGCAGATGTCGACTTGAAGCGACTATTCGAGAATACCTTTCCCAACACCCTGGACACCACTGTGAGCTGGCGAGGAGTATCGGAGAACAATACCGAAGAGGAGCTCGCATTTATTATTACGGGTGACATTGATGCCATGTGGCTACGAGATTCCGCAAATCAACTGCAATCCTATGCTGCTCTCCTAACAGCTTCGAACAGCCACGACGATGCCTTGCCGTCCTTGTTCAGGGGAGCCATCAATTTGCAGGCCCGCTACCTTCTCGCCGCGCCGTACTGCAATGCCTTCCAGGCTCCTGCTGAGCAAGGGAGAGATCGCGTGGAGAATGGCGCACACAATGGCCAGAAGATCAGGCCCGAATATGACTGGAACATGGTTTTCGAGTGCAAATATGAGCTGGACTCTCTTGCCGCTTTCCTCCAATTATCTTCTACGTACTTTGAGAAGACGGGCGATCTCGAATTCTTTCGCAAATTCAGCTGGCTGTCTGCAACAGAAATGGTCCTGAACGTGGCACAGAATATGACCGATCATCCCACTTACAATGATAACGGCACTACCGCAGAGCAGCCGTATACCTATTCTCGAGTGAGCAACCATGGCATAGGTAATCCAGTTGCAGCAGGCACTGGTCTCGTGCGATCCTTCTTTCGACCTTCGGACGACCCAACGATTTATCAATTACTGATCCCCTCCAACATGATGTTTTCCCAATTCACCGGACTGGCCGCCAATATAGCCGACCAACTGGGCAACCAGACTCTAGCCAAACGCATGCAGGAAATGTCCGCATCGATCCGCGCAGCCATTACAGAACACGGCATCACGCACACGAAGCAACATGGCCCCGTCTACGCATTCGAAGTCGACGGCTACGGCAGCGCAAACGTCATGGATGATTCCAATTCTCCTTCACTGCTTTCTTCCGCATTCTTCGGTTACCACAACATTACCGATCCCATCTATCAAAACACTCGAGCCCGAGCTCTCAGTATATATAATCCCTACTGGGCACACGGCAGCCACATCTCCGCGGTGGGTGGTCCACACAATGGTCCTGGAAAGGCCTGGCCGTTGGCGTCTATAATGCGAATTTTGACATCTGACGACGATGAAGAAATCTCGCAGCAGCTGAGACAGCTCGTTAGCAGTACGGATCAGAAAGGTCTGATGCACGAAAGTGTGAATTCTCACAACTCGAGCCGCTGGAGTCGATCGTGGTTTGCGTGGGCTAATGGCATGTTTGGCGAGTGTATACTCGATTTGAAGGAACGAAAACCGCATTTGTTGCAGTTGAGTTTTCAGGACGTACAAGTGGATTCTCATGATGATCGTGGTCATGTGGATTATACGCCGTTGATGAACGGCAGTGACGGTTCATTGGGTATTGCAAACTCTACCGTTACCTCTTCTTTGGAGACTTCAGGTCCTGACGCCGAGGCCACTCCTCCTCCTCCTCCTTCTCTTTCTACTACAGCAGACTCTCAAGCTAAACACGAAGATGAACAATCTCCTAATCACAATCACGAAGAAGAAGAAGCAAAACCCATGTCCAACCACGACCATGCCCACGGAGCAGCACCAGCGGAACACCACGCCCCAATCCACATCGAAGAGAGTAAAATGACCTGGTTTTGGTTCATGACCGGTTTTCTCGCAGCATGCTCTCTACTCATTGTCGTCCTATCCTCGTGGAGGAGGAGGAGGAGGAGGAGTCCATCTCTCATCAAGAATAATCAAGATCATAGCGACGACGGAGAAGAAGAAGGAGGTAAGATCTGCCTTCCATCCCCTATCCCTCCGAGCCCTATCTCTTTTTACGTACTTACTGACATTGCTTTATTTTTATATCTTCCTAGTACCTTTAACGGAACTGCACGAATAAGTAAAAAATAAAATCCATAAATGACTTGTGTGTACCCTCACAGTAAGGTACTTTTTCGTGATGATATTTTCTCGTAAAGCGATAATAGAAATCTGTATCTAGCGTGTACAGTACTATACCTACCCTACCTTACCTACCAACCCCTGTCGTCGTCGTCATCGTCGTTGTCGTAAACGGGTAGTCTTATTATTATTGAAATTATATCAAATTATTGAGTACGTACCTAGGTAGTCTTGTAGAAGGTAAGTTCGGAAAGTCAAGGATCCGAAGTCTCGCTTTGCGCAAGTTTATTTTTTGTTTTGTTACCTAATAAATTTGGGTACCTGTATCGTATACAGTATAGCTAGGTAGTAGGAGCTTTAGAGGAAACGGGTATAGAAGTGGTTGTAGATGTTTGTTTAGGCTTAGGCTTGCTTTAGGGGATATAGAAGAAGGTAGACGGGATTTTTTTTGTTGCGTTGCTTTGATTAGTTGTTAGTACGAGAACTTGATCCTTTTTAGAGGGATTTAAAAGAGTATTCTTCTTCTTCTTCTTCTTCGATCTCCTATATTAACGAAATACAACCTACAATTCTGAAATAGCAGCATTAGCAGAATGATAATAGCTCTAATAGCTCGATGTATATCTATCGTACATACATGATCTATACCCGCCAAGCGTTAGGAGAATAAATATTAGTAAAAGTAGCCTTTTCCAAGCTCAATCTCTATTCTCAACGGCTAGCAAAAAAGACTACCTCCCACCAAGTAGTTTTTTTGACTTTTGAACTAGTTTGTACTATGCTCGTGCTTAGGTTAGAGAGCAGGATGCAGAGATTCATCAAGACTTTGAGGCTGCAGTTGAGAGAGTCGATCATTGATTTACACTTTCCCCGCTCTGCAGATGTGACGATGCAGGAGAAGGAGGAGGAGGTAAAAGGAGGAGGAGGAGGAGGATGGAGAATGTAGTCCACGTGCTCTCTCGATCGAATGCGTAGCGTATAGAATGTCACTTTTTTTGAAACAGTAAGGATAAAATTATTAATGAGGGGTGAGCAGTAGCGTGATGATGATGATGGCGCAGTCTCTCTCTCTCTCTCTCTCTTTTCACAACCTTGTTGTCTTCTCGATTAGGTATATGATAGGCAATATCTTGACAGGGAGGTACCACGAGGCTTGCAGGCTGCAGGCTTGAGGCTGGAGGCTGGAGGCATATCCGACAACAACACTTTGTAGTACAAGAAATATTTTTTTTTCATCATTCATGTTTGTAGATTTCAATGGGAAAAGACGAAAACCACTCATCAACGCTCTCTCTCCCTCTCAGTCATCAAATTCTACTGCTCTCAACACAGATTCAATGATTAGTACACCGTTTGCCGCTGCACCCCTCATCTGGGCGCCCGTTACGCCATTATGAGGCTTGGAAGCACTCGGGTCGTTCCCCTCGTCATGCGTTTAGCGTGATTGTTTGTTGACTTTTGGGGGCAATTCATCGCATCAGATCATAATTACTTGACAAGCATACCTTCTACACGACCGTACGCGAGATGGAAAGTCTCGCATCCGAATACACAACCCTGCGAAGATCAACAGTTCTCCAAGTGTCGTAGGCGCGGCGCGTAGAAGGAGGGGAATTTTTTCTTGGGACAACCGGTTCGAGCAAAGCGAGCACGGAAACGTTGGAAGCCGTTGTCAGATTGGAGCCGGATGTGGAAAGGAAGGCTTGAAGGCAGTTCAAGGGATCCGTGCGCTCATCTCTTCTCCACGCCCAAGAGTCCGTCTAGGCTGATAGCAGCACCAATGGGCGACAGTGGACGCTGTCATGGCGTCCACTAGCTCACTTGTCTGCGGCCTTGTCAGTCAGTTTGCCCACTAAAACACAGCTTATCCCGCGTGCTTAACTCTATACTACTGCAACGCCTTGGGAATCGATGTCGGTCGAGCCAGACTTTGCCGCGGCCACGAGAGATTGCGCAGGCGGAATGCGAGTGTTGACGGAAGTCGATCCTCATCATGATCACACGGTGGCGCTAGGTTGCCAGATTCGACTCCTGGTCTTGGGGAGGGGGCCATGGGGATTGGGGAGGTCGTTCATCATAAAGACAGTCTCACTCGGCCGCTTTGAGGGAACCGTTCGATCATTCCACTCCAGTCACTCTTTAACAATAATCCCTTTTTCGAACTTCCGTCGATCAAGAAGAGCAAGTCGCCAGTCTTCAGGATGCACGCCGCACTCATTGCCTCGCTCGCAGCGCTTGCTGTTGCAGCGCCAGCCAAGCGTCAAGCTGCCATCCCTCCAGCAGGTGTCACGGAGTAAGCGTGTTCTCAACTGTTGTCATGATGGATGCGAGAGAGAGAGAGAGAGAGAGTTGCTAATGTCCATCTTCTCAGTGCCACCATCCTCCAATATGCTCTGACCCTCGAGCACTTGGAGAACGCCTTCTACCGCGAGGCCATCTCCAAGTTCACCCTGGCCGACTTCGAGGCCGCTGGACTCAAGGCATCCTTCCTGGACAACCTGAAGCAGATCAAGTTCGATGAGCAGACTCACGTCGACTTCCTCACTGCTGGTCTGACTGCCGCTGGTGCCACTCCCGTTGCGGAGTGCACATACAACTTCGGCCTCGCTGATGTGCCCACGTTCCTGGCTATTGCCAATGTCCTCGAGGGCGTTGGTGTCAGTGCATACCTGGGTGCTGCCAAGTTCGTCAAGAGCCCCGACTACCTCACTGCCGCAGGATCGATCCTGACGGTGGAGTCCCGTCACTCCGCCTACCTGCGCGAGAACCAGACCCCAGCTCTGTCTCCTTTCCCTTCGCCATTCGACGTCGCCCTGGACTTCAACCAGGTCTTCTCGCTGGCTGCACCATTCATCACTGGCTGCCCAGCTGGCCCCACCAGCTCTCTCGAGGTCCTCAAGGGCTTCATGGCGTTCCCAGCCATCACCGTCTCCCCAGCCGGCACCAAGACTGCTGGTGAGGTCCTGACCCTCAAGGTCGCCACCAGCGTCGATGCGAAGGCTGCGTACTTTGTCACTTCCGGTGGCTACACCAAGGCCGAGTTCTCTGTCTCTGGCGACAGCTACTCCGTCACTGTTCCAGCCATCGGTGTCCCCAACCTCATGCCAGGCACCGTCGCCCCCGGCCAGGCCTACCTCATCCTCACCAAGGACGACCAACTCCCCACTGACGACAACACTGTTGCTGGCCCCGCTGCCTTTGAGATTGCCGACAACGCATTCGGACGTCCCGCTGACGAGAAGGACTGCACCACCATCGTTGCCTACCCATCCAAGTCTGCTGCTCCCACTTACAGCAAGCCTGCCGAGGCCATGCCAACCAAGTCTGCTCCAGCGGCTCCATACCCATACCCTCACCCATCTTCCGCTACTATGCACCCTCAGCCAACTGCGCCAGTCTACAAGCCAAGCACCACCTACGAGGCGGCCCCAAAGCCAACTCACCCAGCCCCTAAGCCAGAGGCCCCCAAGCCATACGAGGTACATCTTCATCTTCCCCACATACCCTCCCTTGACGCTCGAATCGCCCACTAACCATTTCTCTCTCTCTCTACAGTCGCACCCCGCCGCCCCAGTTTACGAGTCCACCAGCTGCACGGAGGAGTACCCCGAGCCCACCCCAACTGGTTACTAGACGACACGACATGATTGCCCCCCAAAAGAAAAGCTGAGGACATGTGATGTGTGAACGGAACTTTATATCTCGTATTTTTTGGAAAAAGAAGAAAAGAAAAGAAAAAGTCCTCAACCACAGATGTTTACCTTGCATTATCTAGCTTAAGGTAGCTTTATGATTTTGTAGCTGAGCTTTTATTGTTAATGGTTAATGTCTCTTTGTACAGATCAGACAGAAAGATGTCCACTTGAAGCTGTTGTCAATTTTTTTCATCATTTTGGCCACTTTTCTTGTTTTTCTTCTTTTTTCTTGTCGAGTTTGTTTCGCCCTACTCAAAAAGAAAATCAAACATGCGCAATTCTTGGAAATTTAGCGGTAAGAGTAAGAGTAAGAGTATGTCCCTAGATATTTCTTTTGGTAGTTACACTTTTTTTTGTTGTTGTGCTTCTCGTGCCTAATTAATAAATTTGTACTGTACAGACATACTTGTTTGTTCGTGGTACTTGTAGGTAGGTAAGGTAGGTAGCTGTAGTGGTTATAGGAAATGTTTGATGGTGATGGTGATAGTAATAAAGTAGGAGGTGTAAGGTAGGCACATGTAGTAATAACATTGACATCACATACTAGGTACCTTTCTATTGAATTCCAGAACCTGATGCAATTAGTGTACTACATAGTGTGGGGTGGTGCCACATCATCAACAATTCAACATTATTCTTAGTCCAATATAGTCTCCCGTTTACCTCCGCAGTTCGCACGAAAAGGTTAGTAGTAAGGTGCCTCCAAAAGTCTACAACAACAACAACAAAAAAGCTGGCAGTTAGAAAAACAAAAAGAGTTCAAAACTAAAATGACGGTCGGTCGGTCGGTCGGTAGCCGGTTCGCCGGTCGTAAAACCCTAGAAAAGTTGGTTGGTTTATTCGCGTATAGGTAGGTACTCACTTGAGGGATATTTGAATTGGTATATATTCATTTGTACACTACTTCACTCGTATCTAGGTATTTATAATAAGGCAGTTATATATACCTATAGTAAGTCTAGCAACCGGGCAGGAATCATACATACCTCCTAGTATTTTGCATCTTGATAATACAAAAGCAGCAGATAAAAACGACGATAGGTGAGTGACACCCTAGTCCGTAATACTAAATACCTCCGCAAACTCCGAATATTACCTCCCCCAGGCTCCAGGGTTTCTCAGGAGCTTGGTTCCAGTCTAATAGCTCCTAGTAATAAGACCGGCCTCTTGGTGCCAGTCTTCGAACTTTGGGGGGAAGCTCTGCCTCTATCTACCCTACCTTTACCTCCTAGTTTCAACTCTCTCTCAATGGCGGTCAACGACCAGGGGGAGCCCATGGAGTGGATTAGCCGAAACCTGCCGGATTGACAAACAATCACACACGCACAGTTGGAACGTGTTGTTCCATGGAGGGAGTTAATGTTGTAGCTTGATAATAAAAATCAGCTTCGCGTCATCAATCACTCTCACCTACCTACTTCCCTCCTCCCTCCTTCTTCTTCTTCTCCTCCTAGATCAGGAGAACCGCACCCCCCACAACCACCATGGCAGCCAAAAGCTACGCTCCACTATCCCTTCTCGTCCTCCTCATCGCCTTCATCTACGCGCGCTGGAGCATTTTGCCGACTTTTTACTTGAACGCCCCAGGCAGATTGACTCCCATCAATGCCGTGAATTCCGAAGGATCCTACGAGGTCCGATTCAAGCATTTTATTCGCAATTGCGAAGATATTCATTTGAATGAAGAGGAGGGATGGGTTATGTTGAGTTGTGATCCGGGGAGGGATAAATGGAATACTGTTTTGGTAAGTAAGTGGTGGTGTATAGAAAGAAGAAGAAGAACGCCCTATCCCGCAGTTTGTGTTTTTCATTGGGGGGGTTTGGATTTATGCTGAGGTGTGTGTGCTTGTAGGGAATTCTGGAGGACTCGTCTACTCACCCCGATGCGGGAATTTACATGTGGACGTACAGAGAAGCACCTCAAAGTCGTCCGTTCAAATTGCAATTGGACCCCGTGCACGAGGGCGCAGATGCCTTTCATCCCCTGGGAATAGAATATCATGAAGAGAGCAAGAGACTCTTCGTCATCAATCACAATCCCTCGGGCACTCGACTCGAATGGTACAAAGTAGACATACTTTCCAAAACCGCCAAACTCGAAGGCACCTTCCGCGATGCGCAAAACCTCCCTACACCTAATGCTCTGGTGGCAATTAGTGAGAACGAACTCCTCATCACCAACGACCACTACATGCCCATTCGCGACCATCGCACTCTCGCTCGACTCGAAACTTACGCGGGCATCGCCGGCGGCTCCATCGCTCACATTCATCTCAGCGGCAGCGACAATTCTCCCCAAATCACAACATTGACTCGCATGCCCTTCGCAAATGGAATCGCTCTCCTCAATAAATCCACCATCGCAGTCGCCAGCAGCAGCACAGCATCCATTCGCCTCTTCCACGTCGACTGGTCTCAAAAAACAACCGGCCAAGCTGCTGCTGCTGCCCCTCCCTCTCTCACACCCCTCTCTTCCATCCCTCTACCCTTTCTCCCGGATAATCTCAGCGCCGATTCGAAAGGAACTTTGCTCATCGCCGGCCATCCTCACACGCCCAGTGTCGAACGCGTGGGGAAAGAGAATCGATATTGTCAGGTTGAGGCGACTTCTCCTACGGCCGAGGAAGATGGGAAGAAGTGTGATCCGAAACTTCCGAAGATGAGTTGGGTGGCGGAGTGGAGTGCGACGAAGGGTTTGAAGAATTTGTATGTGGGGAAGGAATATGGAACGGCTTCGAGTGTGGTTAAGGATTGGATTTCGGGGGTTGGGATGGTGGTGGGGTTGTATGAGAATGGGTTGATGATGTGGACTTTGGATAAGGAGTGAGGGAGGATGTACATGAGGTTGAGGGATGGAATGGAAAACTGAGGTGGTCGGCTCGGTGTGTAGAAGAAATGGTGGAAGAGGAAGAAGAGGATGAAGAAGAGGGGAAACAAGGAAATACCTGATGAAAGGGGAATCTGTAGAGGATGATTATGATGATGATGATATATAGATGGCGCCGGAATTCGAGTGTGTCGGAACTGGTGAGTAAATGTAATTTCCATGTTGGTGGTTCATCAAAGCTACCTTTGTGACATCAGTAGAGCGTTCTTCTATACTGTATACATGTACCACATGTGTGTCAATCGCATCCTTCTTCCCTCTCTCATCATCATCATCATCATATCACAACACCACGCAACCCAATTGTACTAGCCAACTAGTCACTTACTTACCTAAGGTAACTATAAGTTAGGTACGTAAGGTAGCCCTTTTTCCCCCATTAACCCAAAAACGAATTCCTCGCAACCTCCCATGTCCCATCAAAAAACCCCATCGCCAACACCCCTTCCAACCCCATGGCGAGCATCTTTTGCGAATCCGCCACCACAAAATCCGGCTGACCACTTCCGGGCATCATGGGGACGAGTCGCGCTACGCTCGCTAAGCTGGCTGCATCGATGCCCCACACGACGAGTTCCAGACGTCCGAGCGGGAGAGGTCGGAGATAGATTGCTGCGAGACCCCCTTGTCGTTGTCCTGCGATGGTGGTAGTGGTGGTGGCGGTGGTGTGCTCTTCGTGAATTTCAAAGGGGTTGCGGATTCGTATTTGGTTATCATGGTGGATGATGTGGATAGGGAAGTCTGTTGTTGTGGAGAGGTTTGGGGAGAAATGGGAGCCACCGATGGCGATGCTGATGATGTTTCCTGTGGAATTGAGCGCTGCTGCATAGGATGATGTGAGGGAGGTGTCGGCGCTGAAGTATTGGCATAGATTTCGAGAAATTTGGAGAGCGATGGGTCTTGTTTGGGGAGAGTGCTCGACGATTTGAAAGCTGTCTTGGGTGCGCAGTATGGAGTCCATCTGGCCTGATTGACGACCTAGGCGGGGAGAGGCTGGTGGCATGTTATCGGCTGTGCTGCCCTTTACTTGCCACAAGCCTGCGTGCTTGATGAGAGTCCAATTCTTCGCTTGCTGGAGGTCCGGTAGCGAGATGTTGCGATTATCGAGGGTGACAAAGGAGCATTCGCGGAAATAAGGTGGCAGGTGAAGCATTCTAATGTTGGTAGTTCGTAGCACGCAACCTTGTGTCAGTGGATTAAACGAAACGTCAAGACGACCGAGCTGCCCTGGTGTCGTCAACTGCGTGATTTGAACCCCGTTTTTGGGTCCAGTGTCGCCTGGATTGGCCACCGCGATGGCAAAGTCTTGCAGCTCGGGGGCAGCAGTTCCAGCATTGCTCAGAGCGATGTGGTGCTGGTAGAAGGCCTGCAACTCAGCGGTCGTGAAGACGCCCTCCCAGTAGTGTGGCTTCCCTTCCATTTCTACAAATGTACTGTTAGCCCCTGCCTCGCGGATGAGTTGACTTTGAATCCTCGCGTGGTACGGGGGCACGTTGTCGTCGGCGCTGCCATGTTGTTGAAACACGGGGATCCCTTTCGCATTGGATAGCAACAACTCGTGCCTGTAGCTGCCGAGAGCAGAATGAATCACAGCCGTTCTGCCAGGATCTGCAGGTTGCCAGAAAGAGTATGGCACGTAGTTTTGTATCGAAGAGTAGCCCGAAAGTATAGCAACGGCGATGACTTTGTCTGGTCGGTGGAGTAAGGTGTACCATGCCCCTTGTCCGCCATTACTGTGTCCGGCCACAAGCCATCTGTCAATGTCAACGTCAGGTCCTCTCCATTCGTTATGCTCGATCCAGTCAGGAATCATGGCGATTGCAGCCTCTACATCGGGAAAACCCCAAGCATGCCAGTCATCGCCACTCCACGGCGTCACACCAGTAGCCAACAAGACCCAGGCATGAAGATCTGGCAGCGGTTCCAGCGCAAGACGGAACTCATCCCATTCCGCTTCAACTCCAGCCCCATGTAAGCCAAGCAGTACAGGAAGAGACACGTTGGGGCCTACGTCGTTGATAGCTTTCTGCGACGGCGGGCGAAGAATTGCATACGAGACTATGCCACCTGGGTGCAGGTATGTGACTTTATGAGCTTCTCCTGGACTGCGATGCACAGGGTCTGCAATGACAGTCAACGATAGGCCATGGACATGCCCTCTGCGATATTTGAAGTCCAACTTAATGCGCCAGTCTAGCCTGACGCAGCTGATTCGAATCGGCACTGGTCGCGATTGACCGGGCACCAAGCGGATTTCATCTTCATCACATGCCAGCTCTGCAAGGCAAGCGTTGTGCGTTGCCTCTACGGCATAGACATAGATGTCTTCGTCGTCGTCGTTACGAAGCAAAACTGATGCCCACGCACTGGCCAAAACAGAGCCTCGAGTCGAGTCAATCACGTCTGATATGAGCGCTCCAGTTCGTGGTCGCAAGACCGGATGCAGTCCAGGCCACGTACCTGTCATGGTGAGGCTGACCTGCATGCTCGGTTGCTCTACGCCGCCCATAGCTCTGACATCGCGTACCAATCGAACGTCAATGCGGTGACGACCTGGCTCCAGGCGCAATACCAGCGGAGCTCTGTGGTAGCTGTAGAAGTCTCCCCCAAAATAGTGATCATCATCCACCCAGAATTCCAGTATCTGCGGAGTGTGGAGAATCAATGTCTGCGCTTTGCCAGGTTGCACGACAATCTCGCCTCTCGCCCACGCCTGCCATTGGTGTGCAGCCCAGCCATAGATGCCACGCAGACCATCCCAGTCGATGTGTGGGAACTGCACGAGGAAATCGACGCCAGCTCGTCCTCGATCTGAGCTTGTGCCATGTGCCGCAACGCTTGACCAACCGATGCTTCCATTGACAGCAAGTGAGCTGCGGAATGAAGCGTCGGCATTGTAGTCTAGGCTGTGAAATCCTCCCAGATGTTCCAACGGATCTGCCCCCCAGACAGCCTCTGCCTGTATATCAGCAGCCGTTGATCAAGACTGTACGCACCGGGCACCTATGATATCGAACCTCGCGTTCCTATTTGAAATGGACCTAGAAGATGCCACTTCTCCGAGAAGTGGTACAGACACGATTGGCCGCTTGGAGCGTCTGACACCTCGGGGACAGCCTGCTGCAGCGGGTTGAGATGCGCTAGCAGTGTATACAGCTTGTCCAGCAGCATGTTGCAGCGATCATGTGGGAGGAGGAGACTAGAACTCTAGAAGTAGTGTCGCCACGGGAGCAATGGGGGAATTAATTGTAGCATATGCCAGCCGTGGTCTAGCAGGAGGGAGCTAGCAGGCATCAGCCCTGAAGAACCACGGTGCGTATATTTGATGCTCGGACTACTAGTACCTCAGCAGTGCAAAAGTGTGCTGATCAATGCCATCCACTTGCACCATCGTCAGAGAGCCATTGTTGTAGTATTGCAGCAGAAGAGTGAGTGGAAGACGGCCGAGGCGAGGCGAGGCGATACCCGCGATTGCTACCCACGATCAACCCTCCCCGGCACGCGACTTTCTTTGCGACGACATGCACTTTTGATGGTCTCAGACCTCCCACTCACTCCATTGCCTGAGCCGACGTCGAAGCCACCACGCACACGTACTCGACACATGTCCTCCACGCTGTAGTACTACCTACTACCTACTACCTTACCTACCTCCCAACCCCATCGCTCATTTCACAACCTCACCCGCTACACGGCAGCATGGACCAATGATCCCGACGCTCATCCAATTTCTATGCTCTCAGCGCTGCACGGTACGGTACGACAGTGATGGTTCCGCATGCGACGGGAGCATCTGAGCGCAGGCGCTCCTCTTCTTCTGTCCAGTCCAACAACACCTCTGCCCTGCAATCGAACAAGTTTCCCGACTTTGTGCAGGAGCACGCCGCCGCCGCCGCCGCCGCCGCTGCCACCAACCCGTTCGACGAAGACGTCTACAACGACATCTCGCGAGGCCCCAGTCCGCGCCCACTCCCCAATGGCCTCCCGCCCGGACTGCACTCTAGCGAGCGATGGCCCGCGCGCAAGTCTCGCGAGACCAGCTCCCGACTACTGCCTAACGGCGGCGCAGGCATGAATGCTGGCACAAAGACGAGACATGGCAGGCAAAAGAGCTTGAGCGAAGCTATCAGCACGGTGAGGACACGCGGACGCGGCGCCAGCATCCATGAGAATGTACACGAGATCGCCGAGTCGCTGAAAGCGCCCGTGTCCATGAAGCTAGTCGTAGGTGCATACCCTATCCTGCCTTCCACACCTGATCTACCATGGTTAAAGAGAGAGCGAGAGAGAGAGAGAGAGGACATGTAGTTGCGTCGCGTCGTGTCGCGAACCTGCGCTGATAATTCTGCTGCACAGGGCCTCTGCGCCTTTTGGTACATGACGTCCATCATCACCAACACCTCGTCCAAGGCCATCTTGACCTCTCTGCCCATGCCCGTAACCTTGACCATCATCCAGTTCGCCCTCGTGTCCTTTTGGTGTGTCTTCTTCGCATGGCTCGCAAAGCGCAATGCGTCGGTCCGCAACGCTCTGCCCGTCCTCAAGAACGGAATTAGGAGACCCAACAAGGAGATCATCATGGCGACCCTGCCTCTGACTGCCTTTCAGATTGGCGGCCACATTCTCAATTCCGATGCCATGTCCATGATCCCCGTGTCCTTGGTCCACACCATCAAGGGTCTCTCGCCTCTGATGACCGTCATGGCATATCGAATCTTCCTCAATGTCCGATATTCGGTGCCCACCTATCTCTCTCTGATCCCTTTGACTCTGGGTGTCATTCTGGCTTGCTCCGCCAGCTTCCGAGCCAACTTCCTTGGACTCATCTACGCCTTCGGCAGCGCAATCCTCTTCGTCACGCAGAACATCGTCTCCAAGAAGATCTTTACCGACTCTGCACGAGCAGAAGCCGACGGAGTTCCTGTGGGGCGTCGGAAGCCCGACAAGCTCAACCTGCTCTGCTACTCCTCCCTCATGGCACTTCTCTTCACCATTCCCATCTGGTTTTGGTCCGAAGGCATCACACTGCTGGGAGACTTTCTCTACGACGGATCCATTGACCTGAACGTCAGGCCCAACTCTCTGGACCATGGCCGCCTGACTCTGGAGTTCCTCTTCAATGGCACTTTCCACTTTGCTCAAAGTCTGGTGGCGTTTGTGCTGCTCGGCATGACTTCACCCGTGACATATTCAGTCGCCAGCCTCATCAAACGCGTCGCCGTGATTGTCTTTGCCATTATTTGGTTCGGCAAGCCCATGACTCGAACCCAGGGTGCAGGCTTCCTTCTCACGTTTGTAGGATTATATCTCTACGATCGGACCTCTGATGCCGACAAGAGGGACAAACAAATGCGCGAGAGAGACGCTTCCGCAAATCACCTGTTGCCATTGAACTTGGGAGACACGAAAAAGAACGACGCGGCACCAGCCCCATTTACCCAGTCACCTCTGGGGCTAGAGCATAGCAGCGGCCAGCAGCAGCATCATCAGCAGCAGCAGCAGCAACATGGTGGGTTCAACGGTATCAGTGGATACGCCCATGGGAATTATGCTGTTGGGAGCGGACCCGGAAGACCCCATCAGAACGGTTCTGTGCCTGGTGCCAATCATCATGGCGGCTTCCCGCATCCCTCATCACTTGCTCCAGGGACGAAAGCTCAAGAAACGTGGAGCCCGGGCGATGTCGTTGTTCGTAAAAGTCTGTCTACATAGATTTGAATCAAATCACATCAACATTACATTACTTACAGTAGGTACCGTCCCTTATTTCACGGGTGGTTTCTTTGATGGGATGCGATGCGACACAATCCCCACATGGTTTCGACCTGTCAATTGTTTTTTTTTTTTTTTTTTTTGTTTTAATAATTTGACTGTGATGACGACGACGATGATTGCAGTGATGGTGAATCTCCGCATGTCCGTCCGCATGTCCGACAGAACTCCATTCATCCCTTGAAACAAATACATGTTGTAAATTGTAACTTGTAACTGAGGTGAGGATGAGTATAATGGAGAGTACCTGAGGTATGATGAGTATGATGAGTATAATGAGTATGATGAGTATGATGAGTAAGGTATGATGAGTATGATGGAGAGTACCTATGATGATGAAGATAATGAGTGTGATTAAGGTAGCTGCATAAAAAGGTAACACGTACGTACGATACGATAGGATTTCGTTTTGAAGTGATTCTATCTATCTTTTGTTAATCATAATAACAATCCAGATTCCAGATAGGAAGTCAGAAGTAATAAATAGTACATACTAGGTAACAACCCTTCTCTCTTCCTCCTCTTCCTTCTATTATTGTATATACCTTATCTACCTCATCGAATATCAAACCAGATGTTTTTCTTACCTAGACAACGGTACAACCTCATCTACCTATTTCCGCAACAATAAGGTAGCTACCTACAGTAAGGTAAGTACTAGTTAGTCTAGGTAGGTAGGTAGGTAGCGCCAACTCCCCTTTGTCTTTCTAGATAACACGGAAATCTCTCCTATTCAAAATCTACCAACAAGAAATCTGAACAAAAAGACAAACGTCTCGGATACCTACCTAACCCTACCTCCTAGTATACAGTAGTTGTACTAGTTAGATTATACCTAGTCCTAGTCCCTTTAGTTAGTTAGTCTTGTCTTTGTCTTTGTTTACAAAATCACAATATTGGACTATTGGTTGTTGTTGTTTGTTATATGTACTTTCTTGTAACAGTAAGATACGTACACTACCGGTAAGACTCCGGGGTGCAAGGGAGGGCCCATGGAATACGCGTGGTGGCGCGACTTGTTTTTGGTGATAGCGGTGGTGCGATTTGGTTTGGTGATGGGTATGGAAACTTGTGGTGGTGGTGTCACGTGTGAAAGAAGTGCGGAAAGGAGATGGGGAGGATGTGCCTAGGTGAGGTGGGTATAAGAAGGAAGATGAGGATGATGAGGATGATGAGGATGATGAGGATGATAATGTTGGGATGGATGGAATCTACTGTTGTTGTATATAACCGCCAATTCCCGATTACAGGTACCGTTCCATTCTTTTTTTCTAATGCAATGTAGTTGGATCCAAGGTACAGAGAGAGTGCAATGCAGATTAATGCAATGTGTAACGAGTTTTATGCATTTGTTTTAATATTCAAATCTGGTCGTGTCCGCGTTCTACCTCGTCTGTCTTTGGTAGTTGAGGTATCTCGCTATAGCCTGGCAAAACGAGACAAGATAGATTGATTGTTATAGGATTGATGGCACTGGGCAGTGGATGTGTTTGAAATCCTGGCCTGGTTGTCCAAGTAGGTAAGGTATTTAAGGTGCACACACTGGAGAAAAGAAAGCGGAGAAGGAAGGTCTAGAAAGTCGAGGGATACCCTGAGAGAAAAAAAAGTGTAATAATAAACAAGGTCGCGACGCTATTCTCAGGGGGGGTTTGTGTGGTGTTTGTTCCAGAAGCAGAAAAATCAATGTCGTTGCTTGTATCTCGGCTAGGGCCAACAACAAATGCTGGGACAAAGATAGAAAGAAAGGGGGAATTTTGTGTTCTGTTCTTCCAGGCTCAAGATCTGGACGGACAGGCAGATCCGAAGGTTGAGATTTTTCTTTCCCTTCTTAGCGAACAGGATTGAAAGTAAGGCTATGAAAAGGAGCTACTGGAGCCGAAGCTGATGAGAGTTGTGAAAGGGACGTTGAACGCCACCAGAGAAGAAGAGGCGCGCGCCGCTGTCCGACCAGAAGAGCGTTTTTTGTTGGTTTTGTTGTCGTCAATCGTTGTTGTTGTTGTGGATCTGGCAGATTTGAATGGTTCGGCAAACAGGGGACTTGCACAGCTGCGAACTGCTGCAGAAACAGTAGAGTAGTACAGGAGTAATAATAAGCATGGACCGGTAGCTATATAGACCATCGTCACAGCAGGCAGCCACCAAACGTGCCGCTTCTGCTCATCATCTGCACCGTCCCGCTCGGTTCCTTTCCAGCGCAGGGAACTCTGCCTGGAGCTGATCTTGGCCAGTGGCCACCTCCTTGGACATACCTCCTGGAGCCTGGAGTCGTACCTCGTAGTACTGTAGTCTGTAGGTACCTCCGGACGTAGTGTGATTACGAAAGCGCGTGCTCTTCGTTAGCTGCGAAAGAATACGAGCTTCTCGCCCGTTCACGATCATCTGGATCTGGACAAACGCGGCTTGGACTTCGAGCCTCCGTCATCTTTCATCTCCTGACTTCTGCCGACTACGACGCCCGCAATACAGGCCCTTTTTACTTTTACCAGAATACCAGATTTTGTGACAGGTGTAATGTTTTGCGAGTGTGAAACAGGCGGTTCAACCTGAGGATCGAAAAAGGGAGAGAGAGTCAACAGAGTTCGAGCAGGGCTGGCTACCTGTACCTGGCGTCATGATGCTGGGCCGATGGCCAAAGCCAAACGGTGTTCCACACATTCTCATCAGCAGGAAAGTGAAAAAAGTATACAGTAATCACAACACCACAACTGCCACGTTGGCGCGAGCCGGAGGAGCAGATGTGCACTGGCGTTTCCCAGAAGAGTCTAGTCAGGCACAACAGGCAGAGGCAGTCAAGTGTCAAGTCATGGCAATGCGTCTGCAGACTCTGCTTCAGCCAATCGGCCGCCTGGCACTTTGAATACTCTTTTTCTTTCGACTGTATGCCTCCCTCCGAGGAGGTAGGTCAAGGACATATGCACCGAAACCATGGCGCCTCTTACAGAGCTGCACGATCGCAATGCCTCTCAACGTGGCGATCGGCATGCAGTACCACGTCTTGACTCTGGAGCTGCCCCGACGGATGCAATGCAATGTAATATCCATCTATAGGTGCGGTGCACTGCCCATCGCAGACCGCACGGCCACAGGAGGAGATCAGAGGAGGGAGATGAGTCGTGTCAGGTCTGTCAGGTCTGTCATTATTATTATTGACTGGTTCCAGTAGCAAATTGCCGAATTGCTACCTCCTAGCGGTGGAGCAGCGCGCAGCAGAACCGAAAACAACAGACAAAAACAGGGCAGTGCAGTCCGCGGGTGGTGAGAGGGACCCCTGACGAGGCGTTCTGCTTCGTCTGCACTCTGCACCGCTTGTGAGCCTTGTGTCGGGCGTCCCGCGCGTTGGGCCGAGCCACTTCACTTCCCACTTGGCCCCCCTGCAATTGCAGCCAAGTCTGAGACCCTCCCGAGATGTCCGTCGTGCGGATCGCAATCTGTTCACTCTCGACCACTGAGACTTGCCGGATCAAGCCTCCAATGTGGAGCTGCTGGCGAATGCGTGCTGCCAATTCGGGCTTGGGTCGGCCTCGAGTTAGTCACCGCCAGCCGGAGCACTCGCTCCCTGCTCGAATTGATATGCTTCGCTTTTCCACCTCTTCTGCTCCAGCTTTTTCTCCTCCATCCGCTTTCTCTCCTACACTTCGTCGGGGTTTCGTTGGACCACTTACGCTTTCGAGCATCTTACACTCTTTCTTGCACCACTACTCACTCTCTCTACGATCCACGAATCGACCCTATAACGTTCTTTTTATTCTAATCCATAATCTTTGCACCTCGCCAAAATGATGAAGAACATTGCCATCATGGGCCTCGCGTCCGCGGCTGTCGCCAGCTACGCTCCTCCAGCGTACGAGGCTCCTCCAACCTACCCAATGGCGTCCAGCTCCAGCTCCAGCTCCACGGCTCCATACGAGTACAAGCCATCGACCTCGTCGACCCCATACTCGCCAGCCAAGCCAAGCACCAGCTCGAGCGCTCCTCCTTACGAGTACAAGCCAACCACCTCGTCGACCACCCCATACTCGCCAGCCAAGCCAAGCACCACCAGCTCGAGCTCGACCACCTGCACCGAGGAGGAGAGCACCTCTTCGACCGTCTACAAGCCAACCATGCCGGTCTCCTCGTACTCGTCGTCGGCCACTCCTTCGACCTACGAGCACAAGAGCAGCAGCTCCACTGAGTCCAAGCCAGGGTACCCAACCTCGTCCACTGCCACCGAGTCCAAGCCAGTGTACCCGACCGCATCGTCGTCCACTGTGTCGACCTACGTCACCAAGAGCAGCAGCACCGAGAGTGTTCCAGTGTACCCACACCCCACCACCAGTGTGCCGTACTCACCAGAGCACCCTACGACTTCCGCATCTGAGTCTACTACCTGCACTGAGGAGAGCTCCACTTGGTCTTCGACTGAGTCCAAGGCGACCCCGCCAGCAACTTACCCTCACATGTCGGAGACCATGTCTTCGTACTCGAGCGAGTCCAAGGCGACCCCACCAGCGACCTACCCTCACCCATCGCAGCCAGCGAGCAGCTCGATCAGCTCGATCTACAGCACCGAGTCGAAGCCAGTGCCAGTAAGTGGAAGCGCCCAGGAGAGGCATGCTCTGATCTCGACCGTTCATCATCCTAGCTGGTCGCGGCTGGTGGTGTGGTCTCAGAGACAGACATTGCTCGTTCTCTATACCGAAGAATTCGGAAGACATTCACTGACCTTCTATCTCAGACTTACCCTGCATCGATCTACACCAGCAGCAGCGTTCCAGTGCCATCCATGCCAGCGTCTTACACCACTTTGACCAGCAAGGTCTACAGCACTTCGACCATCTACTGGACCACCAAGATCACCCTCAGCAACACCGTCAGCACCAAGACCATGGCCTCGACCACCGTTGTTGAGCAGCCATCGACCACCCCCTACTCTCCTCAGGGTCCTTCGAGCCCACCAGCTTACCACCCACCAGCTGGCACCACTCCCAACTCGCCTGTCTACCCAAGCAAGCCTGTTGAGAGCGCTCCTCCTGCTGGCACCACACCAAACTCGCCAGTCTACCCAAGCAAGCCTGTGGAGAGCGCTCCTCCTGCTGGCACCACACCAAACTCGCCAGTCTACCCAAGCAAGCCTGTTGAGAGCATGCCACCTGCCATGACCACTCCTAACTCGCCAGTCTACCCCAGCAAGCCTGCTGAGAGCTGCCCTGGTGTGACTGTCACCGAGACCAAGTACGTGACGCTCTCATGCACCGAGTGCGCCCCCGTGCAGACCAAGACCATCGTCCCGATCCCAAGCATGCCTGCCATGCCTCCTCAGGAGAGCGCGCCTACCCCATACAGCCCAGCCATGCCAAACAAGCCTGCTCCTCCAGCCTACGGCCCATCTGGACCTGCCCCAAGCGCCCCAGCTCAGTCTCCTCCAACCCCATACAGCCCTGAGATGCCCAACAAGCCCGCTCCTCCAGCCTACGGCCCATCTGGACCTGCCCCAAGCTCGCCAGCTCAGTCCCCTCCAACCCCATACAGCCCTGAGATGCCATCCAAGCCAGCTCCTCCAACCCCATACAGCCCAGAGATGCCAGCTCCTCCCGCCGCTGCTCCTCCAGCCTACGGTGCCCCATCGGGGACTGCCCCATCTTACGGCGCCCCAAGCTCCCCTGCTAGCCCTGTCTCTCCTCCAGCTATGTACCCTGGTGCCAACACCACGGGTCCTTACCCAACGGGCTCTGTTCCAGGCGCCTACCCTTCGGCTTCCAAGCCGGCTACATACACTGGTAGCGCTGCTTCGACCGCTAAGCCTTTCGTTGGCTTGATCGCTGGTGTTGTGGCTCTTATTGCTCTTGCTTAAATGCTCAGAGTCAATGAAGACTGAGTGAGTGAGTGGGATGGATGAATTTCGGGTCTCCTTTGTTTTGCGTGGATGGGAAAAATTTATGCGCATCTTTTTTAATTTTAGTAGAAAAGAGAGCATAATTGCATACTATCAACCATATACGGGGGCGAATTCATTATTATTGGGAGGTGTGTTTTCTCATGATACGATGGACAAAGTCGGAACCAATATTAGCGTGGCGTATTCATCCAAATCTCCATGCATGCGGAATCAAGGCTCTGTGGTTTTCTTATTATCATCATTGCAAAGAGTTTTTTGAGTTATCAAACTACCTACTTACAAACTTCATGTGCATACTTTTTTTCTTATAGAACATTATTTCATGCAATGTCAAGTCATCTTCAGCTCCTTCTTCTTCTTCTCCTTCTAGAACAGTCATCGCTTGCTACCTACCTTGTGTAAGAAATATTGGCTTTTTTAATATTCTATTCCTAATCCCATCCCGATCTTTCGACATCTTTCGAAACAACCTATGAAACAAAACAAACACAAAACAAAAACAAACACAAAAACTTACCTAGGTACCTCCTACACTCCCTACTCCCTACTACCTACCTACTTCCATGTCTGTTGCGTGCTTTTTACCTTTTCTTCCTTGCTTGTTATCTAAGCAACAACTTTCTCTATTTCTTTTCTGTTTTCTGTTTTTCGGAACTCTACCTCCTAGGCTTGAACGAATTGAAAAGTGTATCTTATAAAACAGAAACAAAAACAGAAACAGAAACAGAAACAGATATCTACCTCCTTATTAGGGGAATTGAGGAGGTGAGGCCTCTTTTTTTGTTTCTTTTTTCAAAATGTTTGTATAAAGGATCAGTCAGTCCCTTTGAAGTGACTTTATACTGACTGAGTTTGTGTGTTTTTGTGTGTGTGTGTGGTTTCAATATCAATGTGTGGAGAGAAAGAGAGAGAGAGAGAGAGAGGGAGTGGTCGGGACGGTTGTCTACCTAGCGATGATGTTGCTGCTGCCGTATGTCGTTTGTAGGAGGAAAAGAAAGAAAGAGGTGTTGGTTGGGGAGGAGTAAGGGGGTTTTGGAGAGGGAAGGGAAGGGAGGATTGGGAGGGGGTATATACGCACGTATACAGACGCATACACAGAGAGAGAGAGAGAGCTTATTGGAACAAATTCCGATTCGAGAAGATCCGTGTTGTCATCAAAGATTGATTGTGAGAAGAGAAAGAAAAGGGTCCATTCTTGAACCCTTTTTTTCCACGCTTCCAACCACAACAACATCATCATCATCATCAATGACGAATTTTCGAGGAGTAGCGCAAGATGATTCGGAACAAGTCTACTACCTCTTATACTGCAGAACAAGCGACAAGCGACAACACCGCTGTCGTGGCATTGCATTCAAACAACATTTCCCTTTCCGCCAAGAAGCACGATATCGAAATCCAGAAAGGGCCATTCAATATTTTTTGAAAGATGGGTTCACTTCCGGGCCGGTGACCATACCATACTTCGATGTCCACACTAAAATGTGATGGAAGTAATAAGTATTTCGAAGGTCTCACCCCACTTTTTACCCACCTACCCTATGGATGGATAAGGTAATGGCATGTTTTCCAAATCATCCATCACGGCCGAGCCAGGAAGCAACAATTTCGAGCTATAGCGACTTTTGGGCCAAAATCAGAGTGATCTCGAGACAAAGATGCACATCTCGGTGGAGCAATACAAAGTCTTCCTGGGACAAAACATCCTTTTCGCGAGTTGTCCGGCAATTCATGGCACTGTCACATACAAGCCCAGCCGAACGGTGCAAGACGAAACCATTGATCGCAATCATACCTTGCGACTCGGCACTTTCTCTGCTCACTCGTTGATGCGCGGGCTGGTCGAAGCGCTGGAATCGATATATCAATATCAGAGACGAGTGTCCGGCTGTGAAGTGACAAATCTGCAATTCGTGCGGACAATCGCACAATTGAAAATGGGCATCGCTTCGATTCAATACCAACGGATGAAGAAATTGAGAATGTATATCGGTCGCTACACGGGAGAACACACGGGAAAGTGTTGGCCACCAAAGCCCATGTTCGAAGGCTTTCGATGCTGTGGTGTGTTATGGGGAGGAAAATTGAGCCCGACCATTGCGAGATGGCTTCGAAATTGCGTGACTGGAGGGAGGAGGAGACAATCGGAGGGTCATGCGGAAACGTGGATTGTACAGGATCGACGACCAGTCATCTCTGACGCTGTCTTTGCGATGAATCTCGATAGGAATCGGAGGCTGCCTGCCTTGCATGTGAATGGGAGATGGAAAAGGTTGGGGGATGGATCTTCGCGTGTGGCCGACGAATTTCTGGACTTGTCCCGCGTTCCAGATGAGGTTCGACACAGGATCTGCTACTTTCTGGGTTGAGGATTCGTGAGACTTTCGGAGATGAGAGTCTGAATAAAAAGCGTTTGGATCAAGGTGGATGAGGATTGAGATGCGAAGAGACGCGAGACATCGGGGCGGCGCGGCGCGGTAAAGCTTGGCATATCGAGTACGGCACGGCACGAGGTCCTCGGAGTGAACTCCTTTCTCATCTTCCTCCTCCTCCTCCTCCTCCATTTGGGCACACCGACACCAAGAACGACGACCACGAGTTCGACATGCATTTGGCGCCATGGCCATGAAATGGTACAAAATGACTTTGTAAATCTACAAACCAGAATAGACGGTGACCTCCCATCTCCCATGTCCACCAACTCCCAGCATGCGCGGCTCAGGCGTGGGAAAGCAGCGGCCTGCGCTCCTCCACAGAACCAAGGCCACTACCAGTCGACAGGCGACTACTGATTCTGCCCCTGCCTCTGTCCCTGATGTGAAAGAGGACGGCGGTGCCAATCAACGTCCATTCCATGATTCCCACAAAGACGTATACCACCCACACGCTCCATCCCTCCACGCCATATCGCATCATCATGTTGATCGAGAAGGTCCACGTGAACTAAGTCCATCGTCAGTGTGATCCCAATGCATTCATGCATGCACGGCGACTAGGTATACTGGCACAGTCAAAACTTACCGGAGTTTGAAGGCAAAGGGCGACGACACTGAGACTGCCCAGATGGCCCAGGTGCCACGTGGTGTAGACTTGTGGCAGCCATTGCACGCTGGCCAGACATGTCATTGCAATGCCCAGCATGTCTGCGTAGGTCTGCGCCATGCCGGGAGTTTGACGCAGCACCATTACCGAGAGCGACAGCACGGCGAGAGCAAAGCCGCCCACAACCGCCAGGACCATCCACGCTGTTGATCTTCTTCGCCCACTCTTCTCGTCCTCGCCTTCCTCTTCCGAGTAGTAGACGTACAGGAACAGGCTGCCCAAGTATTAGCAGGCGATACCGACTATTTTCCCACCACGCATGTGGACCTATACTGACATGACCCAGAAGCAAGCGATGCCAAAGATGACCTGCATCAAACCGAGCAGGCTACCGATGCAGGCGAAGTAGCTGTTCACCCTGCAACAGCCCATGTCGACTGCACTGGACGGCAGGACCAAAATGTTACCGATGGCGCATACTCCCGATAACGAGCCCAGCAGAATGTAGAGTGTCGACAAGCCTTCAGCGGACTGGCGACGGACGATCCGAGCGTATTGTGGTATATAGCAGACGAACAGCCATACCATGAGAAAGCTGCCTTGAGATCAGCTCGGAAGTACCATGTAGTCTCAGTCTACCTTGCTCGTAGACAACGCGAACACATACCATGATCCAGCAAATTGCACCTTTGACGGCTTCTCCAAATGCCTACACTCCTCTAGCCCTGACATGGTGTGAAAAAGCTCTTGAAAAAGAAACCGCCTTCTTTCCTCCAGGTGTAGGTCTGGAACAGATATATGGCAAGTTCCCAAAATACTCCAAGTAAGTAATGATAGCAAAACAAAAAGGACCACGTCGAAAAAGTGCCCCTCGCTCGTAGGTGTATCCCTGGATCTAGGTAGGTAATGTAGAGAGGTAGGTGTAGACTCTCTTTTTCTACAAACCAAAAACACACACAATAAAATAAAAAAGACTCACCAGCGTCCCTTTTACTTTTCTTTTCTCTCCTCCTCCTCCTGCTCGCTCCCTCCTCCCTTCTTCTACTATATACAATCCAATGGCCCCACCTAAAACAACATCTCATCTTTCTTAGGTTCTCTCTCAACCAACACCCTATTTCCATGCCCCCCCAAAAAAAGAAATCCCGCAATAGAAGTGCAAGTACGTCACTTTCAATCACAGCATATTTTACAGTACATCGCTTCACTGCGCGCATGTATGCATATGCGTATGTGCATACATATACACACCGATCGACAAGAGTGCAGCGTGGAATGAAAGATTGCACTACCTCTAAGGTACCATGTTATGCGGCATTTTCGTTTTTTTTTCAGCTCGTGCATGTACGTTTTTTCTCGTAAGTTATGTTGGGGATATGCTACTGTAGGTAAGGTACGGTAGGTGGGTGTACATTTTTCTGCTGAAGAAGAAGGAGGGGGAGAAGAAGAAGATGAAGAAGAAGATAGAGACGCTTAGGTAGAGACGCTTAGGGAGGGAGGTAGGTAGGTAGGTAGGGAGGTGGGTGGGTGGGTGAAATGCTTTAATCAAAAAAATAAAAATAAAATAAAATAAAAAATAAAAGAATTCCAACCTTCATCCTCATGCCTCATTCTTCTATTCTTGTGCAATCATAAGTAAGTAAGTAAAGCAAGCGACCAGATTCTGAAATCTGAGTGATTTTCTGATCTTCGCCACTCTCCTCAGCTGCTCTCAGCTGAAAGAGCTGAATCCCACACTCATTCAAAGAGGTAGGTTACATACATACCTAGGTAAGACTAAGGTAAGCCTGGTAAGGTAGGTAGGTAGATTTTTCTGTACACTCTTTTCCCAACCCAGCAGGCAAAGGCATGATGTTTCACAACATTGAGAAATCCTGGAGGCATAAAATGAGGGGTGGGGGGGGGGGGGGGGGGGGGGGGGG